GAAATAGTCCTCACGTATATAGCGTACATCAGAGGCGTAGACGGACAACCATTTTCTTACTTTTTATATGTATTTTTCTATGAATTGATTTACTTTTTACGGCTTATCAACTCTTTGTATGTTTCTTAAAGCAAAATATATTGTTAGATTCTAAGATATTTTTTGTGGGTGATAATAATGATTTATTAATATAAGTTTAAACAATAAACACATAACTGGAGAAGAACAGGTAGATTCATACCTTTGCCAAGGGTAAGTTAATATAACGAACTCAACTGTAATTGTTATCTCGGCTCTCGATTTTCAATTCCGACCTGTTATACATGACATCACCCGAACATCCAAACTCATAACATTCGGTATTTCCAAGCTGTCACCTCCCTGGGAATAGACATGGCTCGTCGTTGCTGGTGTTTCATCCTGCCCGTAAGTCATTTGTTTTTTCATTAACCTCTTTGAAATGATGGCAACGTTTCGGCGCTTACGTTTGGGATATACACTCTGGTAAACGTCGCTGGCCAATTCTATTGTCTCATAAATTCAACTTGGATGAAGATAGGATTTGATGTTATCACTGATTACTCAAAATTGATTTCCGATGCGTCAAATGACATCATGGTGACATTACTGTAGACGTAAAATGATGCAATAGAGCGTAAAGAAAGTAACAAAAATCATGATACGAATACAAATATTACAACTTTTCTTGATAGTAATATTACATTTTATTTTACAAGTAATTAGCAGTATTCTTGTATTATTCCGAACTATTAGTTTCATCATTTTTATGTAGATATTATTATAGGCACAACGTTTCCAACATTGGATGGCATTGGATAAGGAAGCAATGTGGAATAATGGATAGCGGCTTGGATTGAGGAATCAGAGATCCGAGTTCGAATTCCAGTCGAATCCATTACATTCACTTACGTGCTAATACCATTGGGAAATGTATGAATCCTCTTCTCCTCCTAGATATGGGTAAATTGCAGCACAGAGAAGATTCTATTGCCTTGGACGACAACTGGTCTACTGTAGAAAGAAATGGCAACCTACTGCGGGAAAAATCTGCCTCATCAGTCATGTATCAAAAGATAAATGGCACATAACTGACTGATGGTATATTTGTTTATTATTGTTGTTTTAACCGTGTGATATCAGCTATTGCTCAATCTGCTAAATTGCTGTATCGATACCAGAACCACTGATTAAACACATGAATACGAGATGACAGTATCAAAAGGATAATCAACTCCTATATCCACCACGAATCTGGTAGTGGTGCACCAATTCATCAGAAAGGAATAATAACTGATTTCACAGGACCAACATATCACAATAATCAACAACTATTCCACATCAGCCAATCAATGGACACCTGATGAGGATCAGATGGTAACCGTTTGGAGATCTGCGTCTATAATATCGGTATCAACCAAGATAATAATATCTTCTTAATTTACACCGAAAAGTTAGACTCTCCCACAGGCAATCACTAATATGTATGGTAATTGCAAAATTTATAAAATCATTCTAACAAGGAAACTTGGTATTAGCAGATATTGTACTTTTATATCAAGGAGACGATTTAGAATGGATTTTTGTGTGTTACTCTAGTCCTTATTAATTTTCCCAGACAGGAATATTTGTCGAAGGCCATATGTGCCCACGAATTGAACAGGTTAGAGCGTATGATCTTGATTTTGTTTCTGACGTATATGTAGGCCGAATATGTTTTGTCGTTTGGAGCAATGGCTCTAAATGAAATGCTGTAAAATCAAAACATAGGATTTGGACTTTTAACCCCGACTTTAATCAATGGAAAATTGAGTTATTTTAGCGTGTGGGCAGTTTGATATGGGGGCGGAGAATTATGTATAAATTCAGCTCGATTTTGGGATTATAAATGAGACGGGCTGGGACGCCAGAGACAGATGAGTAGTCAGACACATACGCATTTGAACACCCGCACGAAGATGAGACCCAATATTCAATTAAATTGCTGATTGAACCTTGTTGAACAGATAGACGAAATTCAAAGTCACCGGCTTCTAATTTTTTTGTGTTAATAAATGTCAATTCCATTGTAAATTATTTTATTCACCTTCATCAAATCGCCAATATTTAACTAAAACTGGCATTATTATTTCTTCTGTGAGAGCTTGACTTTATTTGCAGTCTGCCAAGTTGTCAACAAGAAGTATACCATCGCTTATTGATTAACCGAAGAAAGATAAATTTCTTCGTCAGTAAGAATGACGACACTTGAAGAACCAAGATGGACGATCGACGACATATAGTGGCAACAATCCTTAACCAGTTTGGAAGCTGTATAACTCTACTTACCCAATAGATGTATGAAAATTGAGATATCGAAACATGCGGGGTCTGAACTGAGCGGCTGCACGTCGACAGAAATCGAGGCTAGGGGGTTAATCATTCTATTAAAACTGTTTTTCACAAAAATAGATTTCTCAAATTCACTAGCTTTTATAACTCTTTCTACTATTGGTGACGACTTCCTTCCTCACGTTTCGCCCAAATCAGTGTGGAACGTCAGGAATATTGATTATGCCATTATGTTCTCTTTGAGTCACACGTGCTACCCATTTTTAGTCATTCTTTCTTTTGTGAGTTCTCAACCGATGTGGTTTCTGTTAATTGGCTTATGTTTTTATTTGTGATTCAAAGAAGGATGGATCTAGAGATTTCATACGCAGGAAGGCATTTCTAATCAATGACCTGCAAAAGTGGCTGCATATTGTTGACTATGCACACATTTATGAAAGCGTTCAGCAACATCTATAACACGTATATGAATGTATCGATTTGACGGTGTTCTTTCTGCCTATGTCTCGAGTTCTTAGCGTAATGCTATCGTTATCGAGCAGCGTGCCGTGTTGCACAAAAACTACGCCCAGCACAACACATTCTATTTTAGTTTCCTTTTCTCTTATACTAATCACGTTTATTCGACTAAATATTTTAATACGAAGCCAAAACACGTTTATATTACCTGATCTCACGTCTTCGGTCGAATCCTCTGTGTCACGATTTACGAGAGATGTTCTGAAACAAATGTCTTCTTTATTTCTGCAGGAACTTCAATTCATATTAAAAGCACAGTTATACCGTTAAATAGCACAAAGATTTCAAATAGATAACACTACATTTTCTTACTATTTTTCGCAGTAAAGATGAATTTGCCGAGTAATTTATACCGCATAGTACATATTTCATCAAATCAGATATGATTTATCACACATATCGCCTTACTTGCATTACACACATCTGTTGTTTGCTTGCTGCAAACACCCTACAAGTATCGATGAATATCAATAGGAGTAAACTGCACATGTAGCAGAATTAATTGTATTTTGTATGTCTTTTCTTGTCCGATTTCATTTTGCTTGCTTACTTCTCGCCTGCTATCACTAACAAGATAAATAAGTTACTGTCGCGAAAGTAGCATTTCTACAACAAAAAGATTATGGGTATACATAATAAAATAAGGAGGAAAATTATTTCCGGGTCGATTATTGCATTTGTTTACCTTGGCTAAATTTAGAATTAAATTACATTTACTTCATAGACTGTCGGAATTGAACTCACTAGAAAAGAGAATCATCTGAATTTAACAATTAGTCATCGATATATATATCTTAACGTTTCGTTCCGAAAAAAATCGAACATTTTTTAGGTTGATGCCGGGGTGTTTTTTAAAAAAAAACATATCTAGAATTTCAGAAGACGTAATGGTTAAAGAATCTGAACGAACTGATTGAAAGCTCCGGTTTAATATGGTTCATTTTGACACAAATAAGGTTGGCAAATATAGGAATCTATTACTTCCCCAATCTCTAGCTCTGGGTTAAGTATCACGTCAGGCTAGTCTGTCAAGCCGTGGTTACCAAATGCTGTAGGAGGAGGACTGTTCTGAATTCAATACCGTATCTAGCCCTGGTTGGATATATATTTGAATATCAGCCCAACTGTATCAACAACAGGTAGGCTGTGTGCGTGATGATAAAACACAAATGGTCCCCGTGCAGACTAACGGCCATGGAAAAATTACAATGATTTGCCGTAAAAAAATGTGATGATATGGGAAATGATTACACTAAATAAAGTAAATGTTATTCAGTCAAAAGAAAATTTATGAGTTGTTGAGTGTAGGTTACTTTCTTTTAATTGCGATGATAATAGATTATATTTCGTTCACTCTGAAAAATGTAATTTTTCAGAGATATCACGCAATGCACAGGATCTCGGCAGGCGTATACGTGTAAGAATCTACAGTTGCATCCAAATACGCGTTCTGCTAATGTTGTACAGGATTCGGTGTATATTACAAGTTAGTCCACCGAAACAAACGTTAGGGAAAGACGAAACAAACGAAATCGTGCTACCTTCATCAGTTAATGAAATAGGTTTTATTCCCATTCGAGAAAAAGCAGGAAATTATCTGCCTATTAAAAGGTGATAAAGTACCATTCGGCCTTGCAAATAGGAAGGGAAAATTAACTGCTATTTACGCCTCTATAAATCAGCAGATCGCAACAAATTGATTTTTTTTTCACGCCATAGAAAAATGGCCGCTGTTGAATTCACGTTGTTTATTTTTAAAATTGATGAGAATATCTCGGACAGATGACGAATCAGTTTGGCTTCCAAACCCGACGGACAAACACATTTCGCAATTTTTTTGTGAGTTCTATGTACTTTTTAAAATTATTTTTAGTTGTATTTTATATTATGTTTCTTTCTATCTTATATTTTCCGTTTTTTTCTTGCCTTTTTTGAAACTCTTTCTTTTCCCAGTAGTTTTGTTCTGACATTAATTTAATTGCTGTACAATAATTTAGTGTATTCATTGTTATATTTTTTTATTTTAATTTTTCAGTTATTTTCTTTACATTTATATGTAAGTTCATGTATTTTGACACATCATTTCTTGCATTTGTTTCACTACCTTACTTTACCATCATTTTCCTTGTTATATGAATTTTTGTCTTTTTTCTTTCTTTCTTTCTTTCAAGCATCGTTTGTACTTTCTTAATTTAATTCATTCATTTTCTTTTCCTTTCTTTCATTCAGTACCAATTCAAGTATTTTTTTTCTGCTTGGTAATCGTTCGTTCGTTCATTCATTTTTTTGTTTTCCTTTTCTTTCTTTCTTTCTTTCTTTCTTTCTTTCTTTCTAACCTTCCTTGTTTCTTTCTCTAGCATCGTTGTACTTTCTTTCATTCATCCATGTTCTCTTTCTTACATTCAGTCCTTATTCATATATTTCTTTATTTTTATCATCCTGGCTATCCTTCCTTAGTTCATTCATATTTTGTTCTTTCTTTCATTCCTTCTTTCTTTCTTTCTTTCTTGCTTGCCTACTTGTTTTCTTTCTTTGGAACACCCGTTCTTTCATTAATTATTTATTTCTTAATTCCGTTTTTAACGTTTTCTGCCTTTCTCATATTAGTTAGCCCAACTTAACCATTATTTTATCTTATATTAATGTTCTTTCTTTCCTTCTTTCTTTATCCATTTATTTATTTCCTTTTATCTTTTCTTCTTTTTCGTTGGTTCGTTCTTTAGTTTTTTATTCCATCTTTATTTTTCTTTCTTATCGTTTAACTTTTTTCGTTATTTATTTATTTTATTCTTTCTTTCTCTTATTTTTTTCCAGTGAATTTTTTCATCATATGTTTCCCTTCTTCTATTAATTGTCTTTTCCTTTTATCTTTTTTCTTTTTTTCCTTCTTTAACGACTTTTCGCATCAATTCGTTATTTATCATGCTTTTATCATTCTTTTCTCTTATTGTTTCAATTATTATTGTTTCCTGAGTGATTTGCGTGACTTGTTGAATTATGCAGACGAAAATTAATTCGTGACTCACTTAATAAGAAACCTCTTCTCCTTCACGAAAAAATGGATGAATAATGTCAAACTAAAAAAAAAATACAGAAGGACAATTTAACTTGAAACAAATATGAGCAATTTTTCTTCTTTTATATTCCAGAAGAAATTATGGGAATTAAATAAATAAACATTACTACTAATGGGCAGTAAACAACGGTGTGCATTTTACTTTGAGAATATTAGCCATCGGGCGAATAAAATGGTTTAATCTTTGCGTGAAAGCTGGACCAGGTTGAGCTTTCAATTTTTAACATTATATCAACCATAATCATATTGAGACTTTACAATGCATTCTAAATAGAACAGAAAAGCCTGAACTAATTCAAACATCGCAAGAAAACAGAACTGGACGCCTGACTGCATTTTTATTGCATATAATTCTTCTTCTTCTTCTTCTTCTTCTTCTTCTTCTTCTTCTTCTTCTTCATCATCTATGTGCCGTGTTCCTTTAGGACGTTGACGGTCATGGCTCTCTAAAATTTACAGTCTTTTGTAGCTCTTAATTAATCTTGCCTTTTGGTTGTCTTCCATTCACATACAGAATGGCTAGATAGGTTAGCATTGATTCCCTGTTTCTCTCATCTTCAATCTGTCATGTGAGTATCAAATTTTGAAAACTTCTTTCGCCATTATCCGACCTAAAATTTTTAACCATCCATCCCCGATTTTATCCATAAATTTTACTTTTTGCTTTCGTTGTCTCTAAAACTTTTTCGTTGCTCACATATTCGATCCAGGCTAATCTCAACATCCTTCTGTAGTATCGCATTTCCGTTTTTTCAAGTCACTTTTTCAACTTAGCGGAAATTGTCCAGTATTCACTGCCATATAGGAGACCATATGTTACATAAAGATTCAGTACGCTTTTCTTTTTTCTAACGATTTTTTTCCGTTTATTAATATTTTGCTTAATTTTGGAATGACATATTTTGCGATTACAATGCGGCTTCAGGTTTCTGTGCCGCTTTGTTAAAAGACTCACCAGATATTTAAATTATACGATTTTTGGTATTTCCAATTAAGAATTTGCATAATAGGTTGTTCCTTTCGCTAAAAACCATGCATCTTGACTTCTTGCAATTGATTTTTAGTCCTTTCTTCTTGTTTTCTTTCACTATGTACAGTAGAACTTCTTGTAGTATTATTTCAGTGTCTGAAAATAATGAATTCTAGTAGGACTTCTGATTCTTTCAGAATCGTCTTAATGTAAAAGCTGAAAAAATTCGGTGAGTTGTTAACATGCTTTTTCCTGGTATTCACAGAATTAGTACAGGCTAATAGAGAATATTCCAGGACAGTCAGTCCTAGGTCATATAATTCTAAAATAAAATTTTGCGATCAATGCTCGATCCAGTGATGGAACATAGTGGACGTCACGGCGATGTTATCAGTGGCATCAAACGGGTGTTTCACTCGAAAATGAGGACATTTACAGCATCACATTTTCTTTATTCGCATTTCGCAAACTCAGGCCGATAGACGTAATTCCTACAAACGAAATTGTCCAAACGAGGTGTCTAAACAAAGAAGATTATCATCTACAAAATAAAGTTTGGGTTAATAAGAAGCAATGACGTATTAGAAATAAAACCCGTTAATGCCATATAATATATATATATATATATATATATATATATATATATATATATATATATATATATATATATATATATATATATATATATATATATATATATATATATATATATATATATATATATATATATATATATATATATATATATATATATATATATATATATATATATATATATATATTCGATACGTTTAAATAAATAATTTTTTGTTCATTTTTTGAGGGAAAATTTTTTAGTCGAATTAACTGTTGCGTATGCAGGTTCGAATCCTGTCAAAGAACGAAAATTTTCTATGAAAATTTCTCGGACATTCAGGCCGGTAAATGTTATTTAATACTGTTTATCATAAACAGAGCATTTGCTTAAATACTTGTATCTATAAAATAACAACGTTAAACATAAAAATATGTCTTTAATAAATAAATTGTCGGACCTTGTCCATTTCTTAATATATGACGTCATTTGTTTACATTCGATACGCCGGAGCAGTTATGAATGTACGAGATTCATGGAAAGTTGGAGTTTATAAGCAGTAAATTCGACCTTGTCTACCGATTGGTTCTTTGTAGCTCAAGCGGTAAAGGCACCTCAGCGTATATGACGGTTCCGTATAGGATGCAGGTTCGAATCCTGTCAAAGAACGAAAATTTTCTATGAAAATTTCTCGGACATTCAGGCCGGTAAATGTTATTTAATACTGTTTA